CTGCTGCACCACATCTGTTACACACAACATCATTTAGATCAAGCTGACCTTAAAAGCCCAATCATACACAGTCAATAATAGCCTGTGTTCTTGTTATTTACACTCACAGTCACAGCGAGCTCTAGTCTTCACTACATACTCCTCCTGGGTGCTGTTGGCCGTATGGACAGACTCCTTACCAAGAGAGTCATATCCGTACTGACCCATTACCTCATCCCGAATCTTCTGGAACTGTCTGCTCACATTTTGAGTCTCTTTTTGAAATTCATCACTGTCATTCTGTGAAGAAAGGTATTCGTGGGACAGATTTCCAAGATTCATAGCGGCAAATTGTATATTCACACTCTGTGTCTGGTAGTGTTAATTTCGTTAATGAAAACTATGACCAAAAATGTTCGTTGAGAACCTTTTTTTCCATGCAATATTGTTGAAGTAAAAGACAAGACTAAAATGTAGTTTAAAAAAATAAAAACTAGTGCTGGGCAACGATCCATCCAAAAATAAAATATTTTTGTGTACATAATATACTGTATGTGTGTGTGCTGTGTATATTTCTTATATATAAAAGACACACACATACAGTATATATTTAGAAAATATTGACATGTATGTATATATTTATATTCATATAATTTATATTATATATAAATATATTTAATATGTAAACCTAACATATTTTTTCTTAAATATATACATGCATGTGTGTGTATTTATATATACAAAATAAATATACACAGTACACACACATATGTTATGTACACAAAAATCTTTTATTTTGGATGTGATTAATCGTTGCCCAGCACTAATAAAAACTGTGTTTGTGACTGTGTTTTTTTAATAAAAGCACTTATGCAACCTCTTGTGTGACAAAATATTTTTGTTGTTGTTTTAATAGAAAAACATTAACATATATCGGAATTATTGGAAATAATATTAAGAATATCCTTGTTTTAGCTTTTGAGAGAAGCTTTTGAGTTTTACTAGTTTTCATAATGTAGAGATATGATATGATATATAATAGATATGGTAATATAATAAATCAGGAAACTAGATGACTAAAGAAGTCAAATAAACCATGTCATGAACTGGCATTAAAGGCAGAGTAAGCGATTTCTGGTAGCCAATGTTGATATTTGAAATCACCAAAACAAACACGCCCCTACCCCAAAATGGTCTTGCCCCTATTTTGATAGCTCCGCCCCACATATACGTATGCAACCCAGGCAACGATTAGTTCTGTGAAAGAAAGCAAAACCAATGTTACACCGTGTCTACTGACGTGAGCGGCGCGGCGCAACAAATCCCCTACAGAAAACTGCTGCCGGGTTCTATTTATGACGTGCTGACACATTTCAAATGGTTTTCAACGGTCGTTTGATCGTGTCCAGTGTAGGCAGACTTTAGCTGTTGTAGACACGGTGTTACTCACCTATTGAGAAGAAACAAAGCAACCTCGGCGTCCGATCGCAGGCCTCCGCTCCTTGAGTTCTCTCCAGCGCTGGAAAGCTGATCCGATATTTACACGGGTCCTACTTCTTGCCTTATCGTTCCGCAGACGTTTTCCTCTTTTGTTTTTTTTTATCCGCCATCTCTATCTTTCTGTCGCTCGGCTCGGCTAATGTCCGTCCCATGCACTGAAAGCTCTCTCCTCCACATCACGAGTAGACACGCCCCTTATTGCTGTTTGGCTACAAGTTTGTTTTGCTATTCGGCCCGAATCAGTTTTCTAAAGTGTTTTTGAAAATTCACATACCCTGCCTTTAACGTCTCCTGTGCTAACAGATGAAAGTACAATAATTCTGTTGAAATGTAAAAAGAAGGTTCTCAACTGACAAGAATCATGATTACAATTTTAAGCAAATTAAAAATATTTGACTGAGGACTAAGACTATATTAAAAATAGCTGACAAAGTGAACATTAGTGTCAGGACTCACCACTATCTCCTGCACTACTTGCACGTAAGGCTCTGTCAGCATTCTCCACATCACCTTGCTGTGTGTGATCTGCAGGTCTATGTTACAGCCCATGGAGGAGGCCACATCCTGCACATTACGCTGGATGTTTGCAATGGGGCCTGATGGGAAGAGTTTAGGTGATGGGTCAAAAACTAATGAAGGCTCATGACTGTCCAAGTTTCTGAGATCTGTGTGCTTTGTTTAATGCTCCTGTATATGTTAGGATTTTTACCCTGGTAAAGTCCATGCAGCACATAAACCATCAGGAATGTCCGACCTTGAGATCCAATCATACTAGGAAACATCAGGAGGATGGAGCAGCGGAACAGGGAGGAAAACATGCCTCCAAGACTACACAGACCTGCAACAACACACAATACAGCTCTTGCAAAATACTGAATAATAAATGACTGGCGTCAAATGTTTACTTTCTTCAGTGTACTTACCCACAAACACACATCCAACAACAACACGTTGTACTGTTGTCATGGCAATATTTTGCATGAGTCCGAAAAACAATCCTTTAAAAACATGTTAAGACAAGATCAGCATCCCATGTTAGTTATATAACTGTAATATAATGGTAGTTATTTAATGAAATAATATACTACCATTCAAACGTTTGTGGTCAGCATGATTTTTCTTTACTTTTTAAAATAATACTTTTATTCAGGAAGGATGCATTAAATTGATCAAAAGTGACAGTAAAACCATATATAATGTTACAAAAGATTTCTATTTCAATTAAATGCTTTAGTTTAAACGTATTACTTTTTAAAACTATCGATGAAAGAATCCTATAATGACTGCATCACTATTTCCACAAAAATATTAAGCAGCAAACTGTTTTCAACATTCATAATCATAAAAAATAAGTTTAACCAGCACCAAATCAGCATTTCAGAATGATTTTTGAAGGATCATGTGATACTGAAGACTGGGGTAATTGCTACTGAAATTACATTTTACCGTACAAATTACATTTACAGTATATTAAGATAGAAAACAGTTATTTTAAACTGCAATAATATTTCATAAAATATTTTTTCCTTTTTTGATTAAATAAATGCAGTCTTGGTGAGCATAAAGGAGACTACTTTCAAAACCATTTAACAAAAGATTACCTACAATCTGATCCTAAACATTTGAACGGTAGTGTACACCAGGTTTTGCAGAGTTACTTGCCCACTCCACTCAGAGCACCAAATCCAGCGCCTGTGAGACGTCGAACCACAGGAAACTGTGACAGTGGTCCGAACAGGAACTTATAAACTCCATGTGGCAGAATACGCTTACACACCTTCTCCAAAGCTGCAAATTCATAAAAAAAGTCATAATCTATATGCACAACAGCTAGTGTAGTAGACCGATATTGTTTTCTAAAAATGTAAGATAAACACACTTGAGTGGGGTAATTTAGTTCGGGTTTCCCTGAGACACTCCATTGCTGGTTTCTTCTTCCCTGCTAGCAAAGAACCCTGCAAAAGAAAGCAATTTTAAAAGATGCAACCATGAGTCAGTTAGAATGAGCTCTAATGGGTTTGATATAAACAGCATTTTAACATTTATGAAATCAAAATGTACTAGTATCAGTTTTGTAAATGGGTCGTAGACCCTCTTATACCCGCCCACATGTATCAAAGTCAAACTCTGATCTAAAATTGATTACATTTTTCACTGAAGAGCAGTTGTCACATCAACAAGCTCTATAGCGGACAGGTAAGTCTAACGCAGCGATGCTTTAGGGTTCATCTTTATTTATCTTTCTATCTTTTTTATCGTAAAAAAAAAAATTAATTGCTCTCTTTATCACTTCTCTTCAGGATGGCCCCAAAAGCACCTTTTGTAAAGTGTCTCGGTAGGAGACTGTCGCGGTTGCGCCGCAGCTCGGCGGTGCGTCAGCTGAAGCGCAGTCTTGCTGGGTTTACTCTGGGTCTGTTCCTCGCGTCAGTTTACGGAATGACAGCGCTGTACATCCAGAACCACGATCTCTGGTTCTGCATCATCACTACCGGCATCCTCGCCGCTTGCGCGGGGTTTGCTACGGGCCTCTCGGACCGCGTGCGCACCAACGTCACGCTGATGTTCCCAATGCTGTGCTCGAGTAAATAAACAGCTGTCAATCTCTTTCTTAAACGTATTCGGTGTTATATGTGAAAGCGTAAATAACATTTTCGCTGATAATTTAATAGCCTATTAACGCACGTATAAGTTGAGATATATTCGGGACACCGGGGCTAGTCGTCACGCGTTTTCTCTAGGTTGGTTATTTTTGAAAGGAATTTCAGTCTAGACACATAAGCCTACTTTAAAGCCTTAGGCTGAAAGAAAGAAAGAATAGTTCCACTGTTATTGTCCACGAAAAAAAGATAAAGTTCACTGAAGACCCACATTTGACCATTTGAACTGATGTTCATGTTGTCAGATTGGAACCTGCCATTAAACAGCTAATTCATGAAACAGCAAAAAATGTAAAAGGTAACACATAAATATGTGAATGTGAAGTTAACATGTAAAATATGAACAATTATGAATATTAGCTTGAACTGACAACAGAAATTTGAGTTAAATTGTACAATAAAGTGTCACCTTCCATCTGAATGTATGTAGTTTTATTGTTCAGTTCAGAGTTTGGAGGGCAGAATAAAAAAAAAATGTATGTAAAGGTTCTGGTATTTAAAACTGTGTTTAGAAACAACTTACAAAACTACTAAAAACACTAGGATTGATTGGACTTTTCAAAACCTACTGAGATACAGTCCTTCCTCACGAGACAACCTAGCCCCAGCCTCCCGTTAATCTACTTTTAATTATTTAAAATACTGTTAAATCTTCTGTATTATCAATAGAATACAACCTCTCAGTTTTTCCTGTTTTATTGTTCACCATAACACTCAGTGCATCTCTTTCTCTGTCTTTAAGTCAGGGGTAAAAATTTCCTTCTTTTCCTCATCTGTACCTTGGTTATCCAAGGCCCAGTGAGCAACACGATGGAAAATGTTGAACGGGCTGCAGACAGTGTGATCTGTGGTGCAGAACTTGCCATGAACCAAACACAACAGCTCCTGCAGCGTGCTGCCAACCCACTGCTACGTGAGTCTATCTGCAAGAGCATCACGTTAAAGATATCAACAATGCACCTCTTTCAAAAAAAGTAGAGAAATTATTTTGAAATTCACATCATAATAACTTAAAGGGATAGTCCACAAATGAATATTATTCAAATATTTAGATACACATGCACACACACACACACACACACACACACACACACATAGATCTATTTTTTTCCAATTTAATTCTAACTCTATTGAAACCCATGTGAATAAGGTAATCGAGGTCTTCTGGTTTACTGGAAAACTACAGTAGTATGTTGTACATGTTTCTGTTTTGATATCCTGAAAACATCTTTGTTTAGCGGCCCTGAGTAAGATAAAGCAGATGGCGAGGAATGCTCACTCAATGGCAGGCCGAGCACAAAATTTCATCAGAGCTCTGACGGAATCTGTGCGGCATGTCGGTGAGTGAATCAATCAGCCAAACATCCGGTAACGACATTGTCTGGGCAAACCCGCCTATGGTCTTTCATTTATTTGCTGAGGTTTGAGGTCTAGGCATGTTTGAAGTCCCTCTGTCTCTCTGTTTCCTTTTCAGCTCGTACGCTAAGAAATGTACTGCACTTCTTGGCGAATATTGGTGATGTGTGTAATGACAATCTGGGTTTGCCATATCAGAAGTGCACTAGGCTGTTTGATGAGGCCCGTGAGAACTGCATGGAGCTGCTCTCTGTGTTTTCGTTCCTCTGCCACCTCCTGGATGGATTCCAGTCTCTCTGTGGGCTCACACGTGGTGCGTCTCTGGTATATGATTAGTCCCTTGTAAGCCCTATCATTACACTCTTACAGGAAACCTTATAGCCTCAACGCAATGACTCCTTACTGTAATTTACAGTATCCTGTTTATTTTCTGCGTCACAGTGGTTTGGTTTCATTATATTTGGTATATTATATCTAGTCTGCCATTGCAGAAACTGGACAAATGGTTCCTGTGACACAGAGTCCTAAGTACTGTTCATCTCCCTGCTCGATATATACAACGTTTATTTACAATATCTGTTCCTGTGGGAACAGTTTGTCACGTTTAAGTACCCTAAATGTTACAGTGTGAAGAGGGGTGGTTGTGTTCCCATGTGCATGTATCTCACACATTCCTCAACAGGATGACCATGATCTGGCAGCAAATCTAAACATGAACTCTAGCTACAGAACCAGCGCTAACATAATTTCGTATAGCCTTATGGAGCAGAAATCTGCTGTTTAGTGTAATGCACTGAAAACTGATGTCATTACTCAAAATTTTTTTCAAATCAGTCAGTTTGCACAGATGATATTTTTAAATTAATGCCTATTATTTATTTTACTGGGCTTTTCTGGCAGTGGGACAGCTGTTCTGCATCTTACCATCATATATTGCTGACCACATTAGGACTGCTTTGGCTTTTCGTAAGTACAGCTCTTATGAGATTCATACTTTGAACAGTACTGAGTGATTTCCTGGCATGGAGTGATTCTTAACTTATTCAGTTAATACTTATTCAGTTACTCTGAAAGAAGCTTATTGTTTAGTTATTGCCATTTTGTTGTTTTTACCCCTAGCAACTATTGCAGCCTTTGATCGAATTAAAAAGGAGTTTGAATTCAACATTTCTACCTCCATCAACTTTGGCCTGCTTCTGAACAACAGTCAGTCCATACAGGATGCTGCTCAGGAGATCATGGAGGAGGTGTCAGAGGAGCTGGGCCTCCTCCAGGAGCTCAAGCTTCTACTGGCATACTTGGGTTTCTTCCTGCTTCTCTTCATGTATCTCCAGTATGTACTTCCTGTTAAAAACAAGTAGCCATTGTAAATACTCACACACATTGAGACATATTCACAAAATTGATCTTTATTTACATTTATTTTAGTCAGAACTAAATAGAGCTGTTCAGTTTTTAGTCCAAAAAAGTAGAAGTGAATTATTGTTAATATATTTAGTTAATAATATTGTAGTTAATAATATTCCTCTATTGTGGAAAAGTATATCCATCAGTATTTTTGTAATTTTCAGTTGTTTTTATGTGTTTGTGAACAGGGCCGTTTTGTACAAAAATCGGTACCTTCATAATGATAACTTTGAAAACATCTACATAACTGACAAGTTTATTGAGCTGGACAGGAAGCGCTCCAGACAGGGCAAAGCAGCTGTTCTTCCCCTCAGCCACAGAGAAACTCTCACCTTCATCAGGCCCTGTAAGTGTATACTTAAATGATGTGTACATGTGTCTGTTAGCAGATAGATGGCGTGGGGTGAAGGGTCAAAAGGAAGGAAGAAAGGAAGGAATGTTCATAGACATTTAGATAAGTGAAACGGCTGAGGGGTTAAAAAATGTGGACGACGACCCTGAACTGAGAGAGAAGATATTAACAAGGAAAGATGAGAAAAAGTTTACAAGGGAAAAGTCAACAACTACCAGAGAACAGGGAATGTGTTTCACACTCAGAGAGATAGAAAATGCTGTTTACACTTGGTATTAAAGGTACAATAGGAGATCTTGGAAAATGCTAACTTTAGCCTGATAGCACTGAAAGCGAACATCCCACCCTTCCTGCAATCGCCGTCCAAAGCCACGCCCCCTGAACGCATTTACACTCACAGACCAGAGACAACATTACTACAATAGGCTAACCTACTCTATGCCTTCTGATCTAATACACGTGTAATCATTGCGAGACGTACAAGGATGCGCGCTTATCAGACGGGATTTAAACTTTTGACGGGCCAAATCAGAAGTATTATTTTCTGATAACACGAAAAGAAACAACAGCAGTAAGTACAAGCAGACGCAATATTAGTGCGCGATAACTTTAGCCCTCCTGCTTGTGTTTTGACGCCGACAGAGGGATCCGCCCATCCTCTTGACGTAATCAGCACCACGGGCCACAGTAGCCCCTCACTGCAGAACACAAGATCCAGGGGCGTGGTTGGATCCACATCTAGGTGGTGGAGATTGGTAGGTTTAGGGATCAGGGGGTGGAGACGGGTAGGCTTAGGTATATGTAAGGTAGGGCTGCACGATTATGACAAAAATCATAATTGTCGATTATTCCTTTGAAATTGTAATTGCGATTATTAATTTACGATTAAATGAATGATGTTTACACTTTTGTTAGAAGCAACTGCATGCCATATTTTTATATGAAAATAAACAAGCTGAAAACACTAACTGAAAAACTTTTATTGCTTTTCTATAGTATTAAGCCTCAAATGTCAAATATACATCGGATTGGTTTCTCTTTAAATA